CCTCCTCTCTCTCTCTCTCTCGGTGTGAACGGATTTAAGGAACACGCATTAACGCGGCATTGTTTCAACTGTGTGTTTCAGACTTTGGTATTACGACGGGGCGACAAGAGGCGCAATATCCCTGTGCCTTTGTATACAACAGCAACGAGACACGAAACGGCACGTTCACGTCGCCCAATTACCCGGGCTTGTATCCACGCGACACCGAATGTCACTATTCTTCAACGGCCAGCCGAACGAGCGAATCCATCTTCATTTCCACTTCTTCGATGTCGAGGGTGTGATGCCGTAAGTGTGTTATTCGTATAAATATTTTTCTTCTTCTTCTTTTTCGTTTAAAAATGTATTTTGTGCTCGATCGTAAATGGTTCGTTCAAAGTGGGAGGTTCGAAAAGAATCGCATTAAAGGCGATGGGTATATCAAAAATCGGGTAGAGAGTTACCTTTCTGAGAAGGGAGGGTTAAGTGGCGGTATTCTATATTCGTCGTATAAAAGATCCCTTCTTCCTTACCTTCTTGACACACATACACACGCACACAAAGAAAAGATTCTACCATTATCCATAATAATGTCTCCGAAGAGGAAAGGAGCTTGTAACCATTTAGATAATACTATTTCCGCGGAGGTAGTGGAATAGTTGAAGTAGAATTTCAAACGTTAAAATACACATTTTGTATTCAAAATTAAATTGCGAGTAAATTCAAAGGAAATGAAAAGAAGAAAAAAAAAAAAAAAAAAAAACGAGATACATTCCATCCTATAAAAAAGTTTCAATGTTTGTTGAAAAAAAATTATACACGCGAGAAGATAAAGTCAATGGCAAATGGCGTCGTAAGTGAATTAGAAAAGGTGAACATGGTACGGGGGGGAGGGGATAAACTGGCTACTCTCTGACAGTGATTGGAATTCCGCGTATCGATCCTTTCCCTATTCCCCGCTTCCTCTTCTCGTCACTCTGCGAGACAAAGTGAATATCCTTAACTAACTAGAAGTCTATTGGAAGCAAATCGATGCTAGTTCGATTGGGTTTCTCGATACAGTTCGACATGCTGCTACTAAATCAAACTACGCCAAAACAAAGTTTCAAGCTGCTTATTGGGGACGAAGACTCAACAACCAGGAAGAGAATTCCGTAACCGATAGTCGAAAAGCCTGGTCGGAACGTCGAGTATTCGCGTCAACGCTGACCAATTAGGGAGCACGGTTGATCAACAAGGGATGATCTCGACGCGATGGTCAATCCATCACGCGATATTAGGACGGATGTGCTCTCGATGCTCGATTCCTCCTAGCGAGGATGGAAAGGGATGGAAAGAAGTAGATGGTTACGCGGTAACCTAATTGGGTCTTATTAAATCGCCATCAATAACCGTGTTGTAACACGATGGAGCTTCGTTCATTAGTCGAAGCCAGCTAATTAGTCGTGTTTTGCCGATTTCTGCCCAACTTTTCAACAATAACGCGGAGTGGAAGCGCAAAGTAGGTCTCTCGTCGTCACTTCATCGATTCCTCCTCCTCCTCCTCCTCCTCTTCCCCGCCAAATATGCCCTCGATTTTTATAATTGGAGGTCAACCGATATCAAGATCCTGATCACAGAGAAGAGACACGTCGACGCGTCCGTTGTCGCAAATGGAACAGTTTTGCGCGACGTGAATTTTTTTCTCTTTTCCATTCCCTTTGAGAAACACGCTTATGTGCTTATACGGAGAAAATAAAATAAATTTAATAATACGACGATAATATTTACGATAAGCGATCGAAAATTATCGAGCCGATCTACTTGGCGCTCGCTTTGACCCACGTCGAGTCAACTTCGTTCCCGAGTTGGAGAATGTACATTTTGATTCCCGAGATCGGTGATGGAGATTTGGAAACGTTCGAGCCTTCAAAAATAACAAATATTTTCGCGCACGATCTTTTCAAATATTCCGATCGCAAATAAATCGTACGATCGAAGATACGAGCGAAGAGTTTTCGATTAAAAAAAATGCAACGCGCAATCGTTCGATCGGTTGGAGTCCCTCCCATCTCGCAACGAAGGAAAGATACATTTCCAGTCGTAAATCCGTGTACGAGTAAACAGAGCGAAATATATGTTGGGAAACGTGAGAACCGAATGATGATCTATCACGGGAATTGCCACTTATGTCATCGGTGGAAGGAACGAGTCGCGTGATGTATATCTCCGGTTCCGCGATAATAGCCTCATCATTCACGTATCAATATTTCTTACGGCCGCGATATATTATTTACAAGGGAGTGAATGCATTCTTCCGCGGGCGAAACGCTCGCGTAAATCGCCCTTATCAATCCCATTTATCCTTCGTGATCGCCGCTTCCTTTCGCCTTTAATTGCAGAACACCCGACAACACCAGCTCATATTTTTCCCCGTTCCCCGCCTCTAATATTTCTCATATTTGCCCGCAATTGGCTCAACGTGGTGACGTCACCTCGCTCTCCTCTCCCCTCCTCTCCCCTCCCCTCCTCGCCCAACAAGCCTGCCTCGCTTCCACGCTCCCATTAAGATTATTTTTTTCTTTTCTTTCCGCCCAACGGTCGAAACGAACGCAGAAAAAAACTCCGACTTGGCACAACCAAGGTGACCCCGGCTTGAAGCGTTATTTCCGATGCTCGCGTGCTGCTCCTTCGCAACTTTAATCACAGGTTATGTAATCGGAGGAGATTCATCGTCCCCCGTAAAAGCGGAGAAAAATATATTTATGGAGCGCGGAATGGAAAATCCGAAAACAGAATATCCGATATGTATATTCCGATTGTAAATAGCGGTATGAAAACGCGGCGGCAGACACGCGCTCTCGCATGTAGGTTGAAATTATGCGAGGAAAGAGCCAAGATTGAATTACTTATATGGAATTGCCGGTCCGCACGGAACCAATTTATGAGTACTACGGGCGTACTACACCGAGAAAAATCATTCGACTCTTCTCGATATTCCCCGCGAAAGGTGAATATTTCAACCACGTCTCGCGAGCCCTTTCACGCGCTCACATCCGTGTATACATCAATTCCTTTTTCTTTTTTCTTTTTTTTTTTCTTTTCCCTACGATTGCGCAACGTACGGCCCGGTCAAAAATATAAATTTAACGGGCGAGCGACTAAGTTAAGAACGCTCTTGAATAATACATCGGCAATTGTATTTTATATACATATAACATAAAAGCGCCGCCAGGTTATACGAGGCAGCAGACTTGTCATCCTCGTTGAAATATAGGTGATGTCATAAACTTTTATGAGGTTTCTAAATACGTACCGCGTGCTTTATCCACCAGGCTTTAGGAATGAGGAAATAAACCTCTTCTCAAATATTTGGATCGTACTTGTCGTTATTAACGTTATATGCGAATTATTATTTTTTTCTTCTTCTTCTTCTTTCACGTAGCGTATTATAACACGAATGCAAACGCATTGAAACGACGAGGAGGTACGCTCGAATACGCGTATTTCATCTTTTCTACAAAAATTACGAGCAAATAAAGCGGATAACTTTTATAATTAAAGAAAGATTAATTAACTCGTGCGTAACGACGACAAGTCAAATTGCGCATGGAATAGGAACGTGCCTCGGAATTACCCATTTGTTTTGCTGTAACTAATTTTCACGACTCAAATATTAATCCGATTTTTAAAATTACGATAAATAATTTTTTTCTTTTTTGAAATTTTCAAAATAACGTGACAATATTTTTTTCTGTTCCACTAACGTAAAAATAAAAAATAAATCAATAAAAACAGATTCTGTCTTTTATGCCCCGTGGTTTTCACGCGTACTCGATATGCCTCATCGTTTCTTCGATGTATCGAATGCAATAGCCGTTACATTATATTACTATCCCATTCCACGAAATTATATCGATATGTATAAAATATTTTAAGAATGTATATATATATTGAATTTTGCGCATCAGCGATTTCGAAATAGAAACCGGTGAACAGGGAATTTTAACGAGGATGCAAAGTAAATTTTCAGCATCGCCAACTTGATAATAAATAATATATTATAATAACGCGTTACAGGTGCGAGCCAGTGTCCGCGAGCGACTTCGTCGAATTTTCGAATTTCATGTCGAGGGACAGGAAGTACTCGAGGCACTGCGGCCAACAGAAGGAGTTCGACGTGAACAGCGACAGAAAGTTCTTTCGCGTGACGTTCAAGAGCAACGATAGATACGATGGGACAGGATTCAACGCTAGCTACGTGTTCATGGATGACGAGGGAAATTACACGACCAAGCCGCCTACGAGTAACGCGTCAACGTTGAAAGGTAAAAAAACTGAAACTTCCTCGACTTTTTCCCCCTCCACCGCAACTAACAACTTTCTTCCCGGCACTCCAGTTTTTTTTACGCCTCTCCCTGCGTAACACAATCCCGCGTACTTTTTGCTACGTTGATTCCGCCACGACGGCGGAACAAATTAAAAATAAAATATACCGAAATATTAACGATTGCGACAAAAGAAAATTTAAACACGAATTTTAACTTTTAAACCGTGCCATCTCTCCCTCCTTCTCTGGATCGTAAAACATACACGCCTAATTACGCCGTGTAACAAGAAATTGTTCGAGCAAAGGAGAAGTAAAGGAAAACACATAGCAGTTTTTAAATGTACAGCATTTGGAGAAAAAAAAATTAATTGCCTCTTATTTATAACGCTCGGTTGAAAAACAATTTATATATATATATATATATAGGCGAGTAACCAACCAGTTGCATTAGAGTTGGAACAATTATTAACTGGCCATTGAATAAATTATCACCGCTTGCAACATAGATGCGGAGACTTCCCCTCGTTTATTCACACAACCGATTAAACATTGAACGGTCGAATGTAACCGGCCGATTGTATCCCCGATTTCAAGTTTGAATATTTCAATTCGACGATATTCGTATAAATCGCGCCAACGTTGAACACGTTGAATTTGTTAAATCTTTCAATCAACAGTGGCGATTACAGAATCTAGGTTAAACGTTCTACAGCCACTGGAGAAATCTTCCAACGATTCGTCGACGTAAGATCGATCCAGGCGCTAATGCCGAGTTAGCAAGGCTGACGAAGTTCCGTTAGTTTGCAATGCAAACACACCATATTTCACGAGGCCACGTGTGCATTTAATATTTTCATATGCACGCGTATATATATATATATATATATATATACGATCTTACTTTTCGTCCAATTCTCCTCCCCTTCGTCCAACGATCGAATCGGGCTTTAAAAGTAAGAGAGAGAGAGAGAGAGAGAGAATTCGCGTCCTTCGGTCAATTTATCGTTTATCCAATTCCATGAATAATCGACAGTTTACATCCGGAAGCAGCCGTTACTGTGAAAAAAGATTATACAGGATTTATAAGGGGATTTGCCTGAGAGATCTGGCCTGCCCTGCAGATAGGAGGGAGAATCGAATTTTTGTGTACCTTCTCCCATTATTAAATCACTCGTAGGATGGATCTCGTTTATCGATCACAACGAAATCAAGAGACGTGGATTTACATTTTTCGATCTTAGTCTTATTTTTCCTTCGATAATTTTCGATAATTATTCGATTGTAGACGATTGTTGCGAGAGAACGGCGGAGGGAAAAAGTTTTTCGAGTGTTAAAGTGGCGTTTACATTCGGAACACGTTTTCCATGCGAGATTTTTATTTTTACAAAGTTTCCTACCTTTACGGCACAAAAGAGCTTTCTTCTCTCGTTTTTATGATATTACACGTGCATTTATGTATACGTGCGCGTGTGTGTATCCGCACTTGATAAAGAAGAAACAAAAATAGTAGGAGGAGGAGGAGGAGGAAGCGAAAACAAAGCGGAAAGTGTACCCCCCTCCCCTCTCCCCCCTTTTCTAAATTCAGACGCAAAGAACGGAATACAAACCAATCCTAAAGACAAGAATCAAGTTTCTCGGGATATAAAGGAAGCCGGGCAACAAACTTACCTACGAAAAACCTTTGCTACGATATATTCCAAATTACTCGTCGACGTCCTTTTTCCTTTTTCCCTCTCCGATTCCGCTTACGAGCGAAATTTGTGTGGCATATCAGAAATTTTTCAAGTTTGCAAAATAGATGGATAGCGTATTTTTTCCCTTTTTTTTTTTATTAATTTTTATTCGTACTCGAATACATCGTTTCCGAACGTTTACGTTTCCAATTCTATTTCCAGTTTTTCCACAGAGCAAAAAGAATATTCGAATGTATATATATATATATATATACGTTACATTCTTTTCATCGTCAAATATTTCGATTAAATATTCGGGATTCGCAAGATTTCCTTTTTTTTTTTTTTGGTCGAGATAATTTAATTATCCAATTCTCCCCGTTTCCCTCCCGCGATTATTGACGAAAAATATCGAAGATCAACGAACGAACGAGTTCTCCCGATCGAAGAACAATTCGTTTTTTTTTTTTTTTAGAATTTATAACGGGGCACGATCGATATCGATTAACACGAACGTTAATATTCGTTATTACACGTAATAATGTAATAATAATCCTCCCCACTCGTTCGCCATGTGGATTTTCACGAGGTGGAATGTTATGAATAATGAATGAACAGGGGGGAGGGTATTAATTTCGAAAAGAAACCGAAATGGATTGTCCAATTGAATCCCGCGAAAGTTAAATGGAATCGAAATTACTGCGACAGGATTACGGCGTAATCTTGGAAATTGCTTTGCCGGCCATTCGATAGAATTAATTAGATTCGCGTGGAGAAAAAAAAAAGAAAAAAAGAAAAAAAGGTGTATAAAATTGAACGTCATCGAGAGAATCAAGAAATATATATATATATATACACACACGCGTTAAAGATCCCTAGAAAGCGACTCCCCTTTTAGGAGGGCAGGTTTACGACACGAGCAACGAGTTTTCGAACGAGCAATTAATAATGGAACCGATAGGGGCAATATCGGTGTTCGATCAAAGGGTGTTCTAAATACAGGGCTTATATCCGTACATTAAGTGAATCAATTTAATTTATGTAAATGACGTATTAAACACGAATACTACGTGTTCCATTCGATATTCACAGTGATTTTCTTTTCGTTCCATCAATTTCTAGCGGCTAATGTATTTGAAACGTTGTTTAATTTTCAAATATATTTATTAACGCGATTCCACAAATTATATTCCCCCCCCCGTCGATAATCGTTCCCATGCAATTTATTCCCCAATTATTTTTCTTATCACCGCATACGTTTCCATCGGGGAAATGGAAGCCAATTGAATTGTTATTCCCCCTAGCTAACGTTTTCGATCGGGAATGAAAATCGGGAAAAAATGATTGCGAAAAGAAATTGGGAGGTAAATGAAAAAGAAAATTGCATGGGCAGAGATATAAAAACAGCACGATCGATCCCGTTGCAATTTACTCGATCGCGAAAGTAATTAATGCAACCGACTCGTGGAAAAAACTCTGGCGAGAAAAGGAGGAGAAGGGGGGTGAAAGAGGAGAGCACCTCGAATGATTCTAAGAAATTCTATTCTATTCTCCTGTTGCTCTTGTCTTCCTCCTTTTCTTTTTTTCCCCTCCCCCCGCCCTCTTTATGTCTCCATATTGCGATTTCTCTGTGAGCTTGCCTGCCTCCTCTCCTAGATTTTTCCCAATATCCCTGCGACTCGTTCGCTTCGTTATATTTCGCTATTTCGAATGTTTGTGATCGAATGATTATCGAGAGATTATTATTATTATTATTATTATTATTATTATCGTACAAGTCGAATATTGCACGTTAAAGTTTTCACGCGACTTCCATTAATTATTCACGATTATTTAATTCCCCGTTGGAAATGTGCCATCAAGCAAATCAATCGTGTACACACGGTTTCCAATTAAGCGACGTGAACGATGCATAAAGCGCATATAACGATTCAAATTATTCGCCAAGACGAATCTCTCCGTGCAATATACCTTTCTCTTTATCTTCTTTTTCTCTCTCTCTCTCTCTCTCTCTCTCTCTCTCTCTCTCTCTCTCTCTC